AGACGTTGAATCACAAGTATATATAGTTACAGTAAAAGTAGTATTATTTTGGTAAAAAAGTAGACCTTGTTTGCCAAAGCCTAAATATATCAGGTGAACGACCGCTCACGCCTCCTGGTATTTTCTTTGGCAATGTTTCTTTGACCGATGTTGCATCCGAGGTGCATTCTTGTCGCGCTGACAACTTAAATCCGAAACACCGAGGCTGCACTAGCATCATCGTGCCGAATGGTGTTCCTCGAATCGATAAACCGTTTCGAGTCTCGTCTGACCGTGTTCGATTTAAAGATTGGATCGGGGTCAAACTATGTTTTAAATAAGCAGACGCTCGGGCAACTTATATTTAATCTTCGCGTTTTTATCCTCTGCATCTCGATTTTTAGAATAATTTTCGTCACGATTAATATTTTTATTTCGAAGAGCAATTCCTGTCGTAATCGTTGCGACTCGGTACAAATCATTAGGAGCTTTAAACCTCCACAAATCACCTCGAGTCACTACAAGTCTTTTTAAGTACCTGTATAATTTATTCGTCATATGTGTCAGTCAAAACTATAATATTAAAACAAACAATTCATAGCTATAATATTAAAACAAACAATTCATAGCTGTAATATTAAAACAAACAATTCATAGCTGTAATATTAAAACAAACAATTCATAGCTGTAATATTAAAACAAACAATTCATAGCTGTAATATTAAAACAAACAATTCATAGCTGTAATATTAAAACAAACAATTCATAGCTGTAATATTAAAACAAACAATTCATAGCTGTAATATTAAAACAAACAATTTGATATTAAAACATGATATTAAAACAAACAATTCATAGCTATGATATTAAAACAAACAATTCATAGCTATGATATTAAAACAAACAATTCATAGCTATGATATTAAAACAAACAATTCATAGCTATGATATTAAAACAAACAATTCATAGCTATGATATTAAAACAAACAATTCATAGCTATAATATTAAAACAAACAATTTATAGCTTTGATATTAAAACAAACAATTCATAGCTGTAATATTAAAACAAACAATTCATAGCTTTGATATTAAAACAAACAATTCATAGCTTTGATATTAAAACAAACAATTCATAGCTTTGATATTAAAACAAACAATTCATAGCTTTGATATTAAAACAAACAATTCATAGCTTTGATATTAAAACAAACAATTCATAGCTTTGATATTAAAACAAACAATTCATAGCTTTGATATTAAAACAAACAATTCATAGCTTTGATATTAAAACAAACAATTCATAGCTTTGATATTAAAACAAACAATTCATAGCTTTGATATTAAAACAAACAATTCATAGCTTTGATATTAAAACAAACAATTCATAGCTTTGATATTAAAACAAACAATTCATAGCTATAATATTAAAACCAACAATTCATAGCTATAATATTAAAACAAACAAAGAAAATTAAAAGGTTGTGAGTATTTTATATTGAGTATATTGACTGTACAAATTATAGTTGGACCTAAACTTCAGGTTGAAAAATAATAAAAATTTAAAGAAGGTTTGTCGCATTTGAGTTGTGAGTCCCTCACGAGTGAGTCTTATCAAAGTAAGTCAATGAGTAAAGCAACTGTCGAGGTGTAATTTGTGTCTCTACAAACCTGTAAAAAATTGCTAAACGAAAAAAATGGCACGCTAAATTCGCGTGAATCCCGGTTCGAGAATAAAATAAACAGGAGTGGGTCATTCACCCGTCCGAAAATTATGAGCGTCGAGAAACGGTCGGATTGCCGGTTCTATTAGCTCGATACGCGTCTAACGAGCCCGTTAACAATTTTATCGCTTCTCGACCGGTCCGAGGGGTGAAAAGAAGGAGAACCCGAAGAGAGGGACTTTGACCAATTACCGCGAAGAATCTCGGCGTGCAGACACGTTGGAACGCACGAAAATGCGGGCAACTTTCGAGGGGACGACGCTAGCAGGTCTAATTAATTAAGAGTTTTAATTAACCGTTCGTCGTAATTGAACGCAGTTCTGACGCAGCCTCTGGCATTATAAATACGTATTCTAAAGTTTCGGGGAAAAGCGAATGCAAGAAAACAGGGAAAAGTTTATTCTTGTTTAATACTTCTAAACAGATTTGTCTTCTACTTTATTGCAGAAATGTTATGAAGCATAAATACACGAATTTTGTGAAACGGAGCGACTTTGACATTTATATTTTTGCGATTTCGAAACTGAAACTTGAATCGATGAGAAAAAATCGAAGAATGTAAAGATTCTGTGTGGCGTAACGATCGGAGAAAAAGAAAAAAGGGGAGCCACATTTGGCCGGTACGCGACCTTTTCTATGCAAATTTCCAGAGGAAGCAAGGAGTGGTTCTTGTACCGAAAGCGAAGTTGTTTTTGCCGCGCATCTGCTCGTTGATCGATCGTCTCGTTTTCGACTCGGGGTTTTTGCGTTGTTGTCGGAAGAAGCACAACGTTTTATCTGGGAAAATGGATCGTGTCGATTCGTTTGCATGAAATGATAACGCCATTTGTCGGGGGAAACGTTTACATCGAACGCCCCTTACAATTTTCCTAATTACGTTGCTCGTAACTCGAGACTCTACTTTGTTTCTAACGGCAATTTCGTGTATCGCAAACTATACGTGCCCTTAATTGATGCGCGATACCTGGTCCTAGTTACGCGATGGAATCTTTGCTCGGGAACTTTGGCAAGTAGACAGGCCAGAAGTTACGGGGCTGCACTTTAAGAGCACTTTAGAACACTTTATTTATACACTCTTACCTTTTTTATATTTCTACGCGTGGAATTCCTACGCGCCGAATTTCCACCCGTGGAGTTCCTACGCGCCGAATTTCCACGCGTGAAATTCCTATGCGCCAAACTTCTACGCGTGGAGTTCCCACGCGCCGAATTCCAACGCGTCGAATTTCTACGCACCGAATTTCTAAGCGCCGAGTTCCTATGCGCTGAATTTCCATGCGTGGAGTTCCTATGCGCCAAACTTCTACGCGTGGAGTTCCCACGCGCCGAATTCCTAAGCGCCGAGTTCCTACGCGCCGAATTTCCACGCGTGGAGTTCCTATGCGCCAAACTTCTACGCGTAGAGTTCCCACGCGCCGAATTCCAACGCGTCGAATTTCTACGCACCGAATTTCTAAGCGCCGAGTTCCTATGCGCTGAATTTCCATGCGTGGAGTTCCTATGCGCCAAACTTCTACGCGTAGAGTTCCCACGCGCCGAATTCCAACGCGTCGAATTTCTACGCACCGAATTTCTAAGCGCCGAGTTCCTATGCGCTGAATTTCCATGCGTGGAGTTCCTATGCGCCAAACTTCTACGCGTAGAGTTCCCACGCGCCGAATTCCAACGCGTCGAATTTCTACGCACCGAATTCCTAAGCGCCGAGTTCCTACGCGCCGAATTTCCACGCGTGAAATTCCTACGCGCCAAGCTTCTACGCGTGGAGTTCTCACGCGCCGAATTTCCACGCGTGGAATTCCTACGCACCGAATTTCCACGCGTGGAATTCCCACGCGTCGATGTCGCACGCGCCGAATTCCAATGCGTTGAATTTCTGCGCGCCGAATTTCTACGCGTGGAGTTCCTACGCGTCGAATTTCCACGCGTGAAATTCCTACGCGCCAAACTTCTACGCGTGGAATTCCCACGCGCCGAATTCCAACGTGTCGAATTTCTAAGCGCCGAGTTCCTACGCGCCGAATTTCCACGCGTGGAGTTCCTACGCGCCAAACTTCTACGCGTGGAATTCCCACGCGCCGAATTCCAACATGTCGAATTTCTAAGCGCCGAATTTCCACGCGTGGAGTTCCTACGCGCCAAACTTCTACGCGTGGAATTCGGCAAAGTTGTCGATATATTTATTTCCTCTTAGTCTTACGATAAAATGATACAAAATTGAGAGCAACATGTTCAGTGTCTCTTACACAGATTTGTCATTTATTATATCAGAAACAATATACATCATAAATTATTAACAATTTTTATTTATTAACAATACAGGTTTACCAAACAAAAATGATTTAAATTTATTACGTCTAAATAAAATAGAATTACTCAAAAGATCATCTATGATTACACAGTAGTATTTGAAGTATTAATTGTGTTCTTATATTAAAACCACAACAAACATCTCTGAATTGAAGTCCATTCAAATTAGAAGATTGTCGCGTGAACACGAAGAAAGAGCGACAAATAAAAGAGAGAACGAGAGAATAGAAGAATAGCGTCGCTAATTCGTTTTCGTTCCAAACGATTTCCTCTTTGTATATTAAAAGTTTACGAAGCAATTGGTTTCCTGCTCATAGTCGGTTCTCCGCTCTTCTCCAACGTCCCATTGTCTTCACAAATATTTATCGAGTCTGTTTACTCTGGATAAATTGCGTTTCGAAATGTTTCGAAGATTAAAACGGTAGAATTCGATTTATTTCTCTTTTTCGCACGAGGAAATTACTTCGATATCTTAGGTGCTAAATGTCTCGAATATTAATAGGTCCATCTTGTCAAAGAAACAATTTTACATTAACAACAAACTTATCCACCCTCTAAATTTAATAAATTCTGACAAACGTAATATTCACTGCACCTGACACAAAATTTCCGGTTACTTCGAACTTCAATTCTATTCAAAGGATTTGCTATTTTATTCACAGGAAATTTTGTTAAAGAAATATTTTTAAATATTGTAAAAAACCAATAAAACAGCTCCCACATCGATAAAAGCCACAGTAAAAATAAAATGAAAATATTTGAAATTCGTAATAGACGTATTGTTAAAAAAGTTTACAATTCCAGTTTTCATTAGAGAAGTTACCGAAGAGAACGAACATTTGGTAGTAGAATATTCAGGTAGCAAAATATGGTTTGATCGGTGTCGGAGAACAGGGGTAGGACGGTTTTATTTACCTCGGTAGTCGAACGAACGGTGGCGAATGTTTATCCAAGGCAGCCGATGTGTCCCGCCGTCGATAAAACCCCTTGGCTGTAGCGGACGAGGCAGTCCGACGCGGGCCGTCGTTGCGAGCGGATATGTCGTGGCGAGTCCCACTTCCGCTTATCGGGAACGCGATCCGAGCTACCTCGAGGATCTCCGCGCGAATCGATTCGTGATCTACTACCACGTGTTTCTCTCTAAACTCTGTTCGAACAATTTTAATCTCTTACACTCGATTCAAATTATTGGTGCTCGTTTATTTTATTTATCGATGTACGATCGAACCGCGTTGGAACCGGAAGTGGAGTATCGAAGTGTGTTCAGGTGAAATGTTTAGTGATGATGCGGGATTTTGTTGAGAGGGTTACTCGAAGTTGACGTTGGAGAGTGATAACAAGAAATAAATTCTAATTTCAATTTTGGGAAACTGTTAAAACATCGGAGGATATAAACTAAACTTCTGTTGTACTCTTACGTTCTCTTGAAAGCATTCAAATAAAATAGCTTGCAAAAGTATACTTGTCCATAAGAAATTTTGTATCGCAACTTTCATATTTTTCCCACCAAAAAATTCGTAAGAAATGTAAGACTATGTGGGTCACGATTGACCCAGTGGCGTTGAAACGCGACACCCTGTATTAGTTACAGGATAACTCTCCCTCGCAAGATAAGGCGAGCGTTTTCGAGCAGACTATTAATGGACGTGGTCCCATTAAGCGTAATAATGCGCGTCAACGACAATAAAGCAATCGGGAGCGGGAAGCGTTGAAAAGCTCGATGGCAAAGAAACAAAAAGACAAAAAAAAGATGGACGAAACGTGCATGAAAGTGCAGGACGGATCAAAGGGAGGATCATAGAGAGAGGGTCTGTCGCGACTCGCGAGGAAGCGCTGGTTGTTCACGAAAGAGGACTCTAGGGAACTCGCGATTTTCTTTTGACGCTTGGAAGCTATTTTGTTGAAAGTGTATGGTGGAAAGTTGAGTGACTGATTCGATTTGTACGGGGAGATTGGAATGAATCGAGCGAGAAAATTCGACGGGGAAAGTTGGGGGCGCAAATGGATTTTTTTAGGAATTTACTTTTTTCATAATTTATCGTCTACGTAATTTATAGTCTAAATAACATTAATATTTAAATTTTAACTAATTTTTCTCAATTATCATTAATGTTACAAATTGAAAGTTGTATCAGGAGTAATTTTGATTGGCCACATTACCTCCAGACGTTGTCTTCGAGAACCCTAAAGATACTCAACCCTAAAACTTAAAAACATACCTGTTTAAAAATTACCCAAGGACCAGAAATTAACTACCAGAGGAACTTTTATTAATCGAACAGAGAATCATCAGTCATCTTATCACTAACTGTTCCCGAATAAGGAAGAGTGAAAATCGGTGTCGTGTACTTAAATGACCCCTTGATGGCGAGAAGTGTCGGTCGAGTGTCTCCCGGTGGATCCGCGGAACGGGGCTAATTAGAGGTGCAATTTCGACTTTTCGCGGAGTTGACAAGAATTACGAGGGACTTCGGTTGTGTTGCAGTTTGCGGTAAGTTCACAAATTTTTTATCGAGTTTCCCTAATGAGTTTTTAAGCGGCGCTCGCCACAATGGCAACACCCAACTGAGTTAACTTTAGCTTTCGTTCCTCGCGCTTTATCTGCAAATCGTAACACCCTTCGTTCTTTTAACTGCAGTTCGAAATTATTTTACTTTCGCGTGCTATTTAAGTTGCAAAATTTAATTATTGTTCTTACGCTGAATATTTGGAAGTCCACGAAAATACAGACTCTCGTTACATTGGTATGAAAGGAATGTTTAAAATTGCAGAAAGGGATTGTTTCCTGTAAGTGGCAATATATGTGATGTACCACATATGATAATGCTTAGATATAGCACTCGTGAAAACGTGACAATTTGATCCATGATATCTAATGACAATATAACTTTTAACTGCAGTTCGAAATTATTTTACTTTCTTATTACATGCTATTTAAATTGCGAAATTTAATTATTGTTGTTACGTTGTTGAATATTTGGAAGTCTATGAAAATACAAACTCTTGCTACATTGACACGAAAAGAATGTTTAGCATTGTAGAAAGGGATTGTTGACTGTAAAAATTTGCTCATAGAATGTATATCGATATGGCGTTAACGATGTACAGTAAGTGGCGATATATGCGACGTACCACATATGATAATACTTAGATATAGCACTCGTGAAAGCGTGACAATTTGATCCATGATATTTAATGACAATATAACAGTTCAAAATTATTTTACTTTCTTATTACGTGCTATTTAAATTGCGAAATTCAATTATTGTTGTTACGTTGTTGAATATTTGGAAGTCTATGAAAATACAGACTCTTGCTACATTGACACGAAAAGAATGTTTAGCATTGTAGAAAGGGATTGTTGACTGTAAAAATTTGCTCATAGAATGTATATCGATATGGCGTTAACGATGTACAGTAAGTGGCGATATATGCGACGTACCACATATGATAACACGTACATATAAGACTTATGAAAGCGTGACAATTTGAACCATGACATTTAATGACAATATAACTAGTGGTAATATAATACAAGTACACGTACAGAGACAACATAAGTACAACAATTAAAATAGGAAGTTTAATAACAACACAAAAGGAATAATGTAATAACTTCCAATCGATCAAACACCGATTATAAAGTTTGACCCGTGGTATTTCAGCGAATTAACGAAAGTTGATCAATTAATTTGCAAGAGTTTTAATCGAAATAAAAGCACGTAGTAAAAAAAGGAGAGGAATTTAACACTGTTAGTTTCGATTGGATGACAATCTCTCTGTCCCGCGTGATAACGAGAGTTTTATACGCCGTTGGTGATATTCGCGAGATTGCTTTTTCCGACTGAATTCGATTTTCCCGTATGCGAAATTCGAATACTGCTTCCGTTATGATCGCGCGATTTTTATAATTAAATAAACAACGTTGTGTAACGTAAACGCAACGAATCGATGCGTTAACGAAACACGGTATTATTATAATTTACAGAGGACGCGTTTTCCAATTTCCTCTCTGTTGCTTTTATTTCCACGAATTTGCAAGTACGAACGTTAATGATCGACAGAATCATTCTGTGCAACAGAGTGCATACTTGCTCGTCGAACGTTTTTGTTCCGTTGTTTACAACGAGAGCTCGCCAGAGAAGTTCGCGAAATGTTTAACGATAAAATATGAAACTGTCGTTGTATTAGGTGGATCGTGAATTTAATCGTCGATTCGAGCCGCGTACAAATTGCGACGAAACTGTGTTGGAATTTCAATAACGCGTCTCGTTCGACGTACACGAATTTTTAATTCCAATTAATTCCATTATAATTTATTACCAATTACTGCTGTAACTGTCTCGTAAAGCAGGACATGCATCCTGACGTCACTTTTTTTATTACCATTAATTATTTCATGAACGAGTAATAATCACGCTACGATGAGTTACCGTTCCCGATAACACCGATACATCGCTTTTCAAACCTACCAACGCGTTATTAATTATATTATTAATTGCGTACTGTTTATGGGTATTTCAAATATTTCCACATATTTCTGGAAATATAGGAATCGGGACTGTTGGGAATTTAAACATAAAATTTGACAATTTATAAATTTGGGGATATAAATCTGAAAATTTTTTATTTCGAACTTCAGGGGCTGTGCAAATTGTACAATATTTTATATTGGATATAAAATCATAACATTTTTAGAATAGAAAATCATTCTGGTGCTAATACTCCATATTGCTTAGAGACAACTCACTTAGATACAACTTGTTATAAGTAAACTTTATAAGTTCGATACAACTCGAGTTTAAGCAACTGCTCTCTCTTTTCTTAGTCCATAAGCATCCTCGCGCCATATTGTCACCGTTCCTCTCAGAATACTTCGAAGCTGAACTAATTCCATTAGCAAAGAACTAAGAAGCGCAAGTTAAAGTAGAAGCGAAACGCGTATAAATTACGATGGTAATTGGCATATCTGTCACTCCCACAGACGGCACAGGAGCACCTGTGATGCCATCGGCGGTGAGGTCAGCCAACAGCCTACTCGTGAACGCGTACGAGGAACGTCAGGCTGACACACCGCAAAGCGTCGAACAGCGTCGGTTATTTTCGCGCTACGATAAAGCCGGCGAATGCGTCGCCAGACGGGAAATGCGCTTGTTAGAACAGCTTCCTCTTGGCTTGCCTGCCACCGTATATATCCCTGCTTCCAAGCGACAGCCAGGAACGCGGCCGTTATTATACGGCCGTTGCATCGGATCCGTCTGCCAGATCTCGTTTTCCCGGCTTCACTTTAATAAACACGTTGTCTTACGAGATCGAATAACCCGGCTGACCGATTTTCATGATGATTCAGCACCGTGTTGTGCAAATAGCCTCGTGTCTACCGATGGATTACTTATATGCTTTCGTATGGGGCATTTGGTGATCTACTACAATTTTATTTGATTCATATCTTGCTTTTCTAGCGTTCGATTATCTGAGGGATTTAAATTTTTCTTTGGGGGGGGTTCCTGATGATAGAGATATGAAATTCATTCCCACGCGTCGAATTTCTACGCACCGAATTTCCACGCGTGGAATTCGTACGTGTCGAGTTCCCACGCATCGAATTCCTACGCGCCGAATTTCCACGCGTGGAATTCCTACGCACTGAATTTCCACGCGTGGAGTTTCTACGCGCCGAGTTTCCACGCGTGGAATTCCTACGCATGGAATTTCTACGCGCCGAATTTCCACGCGTGGAATTCCCACGCGTCGATATCCCACGCGCCGAATTCCAACGCGTCGAATCTCTACGCACCGATCTTCCACGCGTGGAATTCCTACGCACCGAATTTCCACGCGTGGAGTTCCTACGCGCCGAGTTTCCACGCGTGGAATTCCTACGCATGGAATTTCTACGCGCCGAATTTCCACGCGTGGATTTCCTACGCGTCGAATTCCTACGCGTGGAGTTCCCACGCGCCGAATTCCAACGCGTCGAATTTCTACGCTCCGAATTTCCACGCGTGGAATTTCTACGCGCCGAATTTCCACGCGTGGAACTCCTACGCGTCAAATTCCCACGCGTGGAGTTCCTACGCGCCGAATTTCCACGCGTGGAGTTCCTACGCGCCGAATTCTCACGCGTGGAACTCCCACGCGTGGAATTCCAACGCTCCGAATTCCCACGCGTGGAATTCCAACGCGCCGAATTCTCACGCGTGGAACTCCCACGCGTGGAATTCCAACGCTCCGAATTCCCACGCGTGGAATTCCAACGCGCCGAATTCCCACGCGTGGAATTCCAACGCGTCGAATTTCTACGCGCTAAATTCCCACGCGTAGAATTCCTAAGCGCCGAATTCCTACGCGTTGAATTTCTACGCGTCGTGTTCCCACGCCCTGAATTCTCATGGATCGAATTTCTCCGTTTCGAATTCCCACATATCAAATTTCTACGCGACGAAGTCCCACACGTCGAATTTGAAATAATTCGTTCGAAAGAAATCGTAGGAATTTGCAGGGGTTCGTAGAGATTCGGTAAGACTCGTAAGAATTCGTAAGGATTCGCAGGTTCATAGGGATTCGTTCTCAAAATGATCGGAGCAGTTCAATAGAACGACAGGCCACATACGACAAAATAAATTCTCTTGAAATACAGACTATAACATGGAAAATTGTTAGTCGATGAGGCTCCTTTTAACAAATTGATTTTCCAAAGATAATTTGATAATAAAAAATTGACTTTAGTTCCCTATTATAAATTACTTTGGTAAAAGTGTTTAAATGAGGAGATTAAAATGATTGGTCGACAGGTTTGAGTTCGACGCAGAGAGGCTAATATTAGGATAGCTTTGTTGACTGAAAATACCGTTCAGTGTTTGTCGGCCTTTAATTGACTGGAACTCATTGGTGCATTCTGAAATATCGATTTCATTCACAGGCTTTGACATCCTAGTCTCATTGTGAAAATGTTTCATATGACTACTTGCTATATTTTTCATTTAATTAAATACTCAATTTATTACATTTTTACGGAGATAAGCTTTCAGAATGTTCAATTTCGTAATGATGTTTTGGTTAATACTGGTTTTAACGTTTACAAAGCGACATCGTCATCGAACCAGTCAAGAATCACTGTCCATTTGCTTTGGCCGGCTTCGCCCGGCTCTGTCATTCGCTTTCAGAGTCAATTACCTTGTTGAGCCTCGCTTTCGATCGCTCAGTTCAACAAACGACCAGCACCGAAACAATCTCGACAAACGTTCTTTGAACAGCGCTGATCACGCTTCGATGATACCGACATTATTCGGGGACGTTCTTGATCTTCGATTCTCCAATCAGTTTCGACGAATCCTTTGCAAGTTCAGTATTGCTCTTGTTCTATTTTGAGTCTCGTGACGTACTTGTACTACTGCTCTCCTTTGAATTTTATTCGAATTTTTAATACTTGAATTTGGAGTTCAAGTCCAATTATAAATTGCATAAAATTGATATAATACTTCAACTTTC